TCTATCAGCGCGGCCTTATTTTCTCGCGGTGGATTCCGCGAGTCTCAAAGGAGTCGCGACTTCGACGAAACTCATGAAGATTTTATTTGAGCTAGCTTGTGGTCGCGAAGCTGATCATCAGCGTACTCGAAGGTGATCGCCAGGACAATCGTCGCCCATTTTTTTTTACAGGTTCACCGGCGATTTAACCCTTTCGTCTTGAGATCTTCAGATATATATACAGGGTGTCCCGGACCTCCATGATAACCTTTGGTGAGAACGTAGAACGTAGAAGGTGCGCCATCTGTCATTGTATACTTATACATTAAATCAAACTGAACGAAAAAATCATTTTGTAAATTACCATATAGATTTTTAGATATTAATTAAAGAAAATTTATGGTATACAATCATATATGTAGCAATTTTCTGTAATATTTAAAAATCTATGTGGTCATTTGCAAAATGGTAGAGGACTTTTTTGTTTAGTTTGGCTTAATATATAAGTATACAACGGCAGACGGCCCCACTGCAGCTCATCTACCATATCGCGCGTGATCATTCACCATTCTTTTTTAATTAATATCTCGACTATTATTGCGAATATCGCAAAACGGCACAGGACTTTCTTACTCACTTCAATCCGTTCTACGTTCTCACCAAGGGTCATCGTGGAAGTTCGGGACACCCTGTATATATATATATGTTATGTGTAGCAAAATAGATTAAAAACAATTACAAATAATAATTATAAAAAAACAAAGAATTTATAAGAGCCAAGCACGAGCAAAAAGTTTTTCTCGCACTACCATCTCATTGTGCTTGACTCTTGTAGATCTTTTGTTTTGCTGTGATTGATTTTTAATCAATCTTGACTTTTAATCTAGGAGCCCTCGATATCTTATCGATTATTTTGTAAAAAAGTAATTTTTAGACTTAAGTTGTAGAACTTGTAAGACACGTGTAAACTAACGAAACTGAAAGGATTAAATGCCGTAACTATTGGTCTATACTGGAAGAAAAATATTTAAGAAATAAAAAGTATTTATTCGATAGCTACACGCTAATATAATATATATTTATTTTTATACTAATATAAAATATTTTTTAGATAAGCAAATATATATTTTCTTAAAATCTTAGCTTTTCATGGAAGCAATTGTTTATTCTATTTAAATGGAAGAATTTAGAGATTTAAGTAAATGTATTATTAGTATTCATAGAATAAATATTTCTTTTTTTTCTCACACTATAAAAATATTAATAAAATATTTTGCCTTTTTTATTAGCTTTTCATTGACCGTACTTAGTTGCAAAACAGTTCAAACACAATGAAATTGAGACCTCAGCGAATTGTCAAAATTGAGAGTTATTAGCGGGCTTGTGCAGTAATTACATTACTTGTGCACTAATTATTATTGTTAATTATGTTATTAATTATATTATTATTGCGTAACACCGTCAGTAATGACTCTTAATTTAACAGTTTGATGAGCTTTTAATTCCATTACATTATAATCGTTTTGCGCCCAAGTGTACAGCCAATAGTGAAAGCCAATGAGAAAAAGGTAAAAAAATATATACGTTTCAAATTGTATTTCTTTGTCTTTAATAATTAAAGATTACTATATTTTTAATTCTTATCTTATCTTTGATAATGTTCGATATAATATTTGTCTTTAATAATTTAATGGTCCCACATTGTGCAATAATTCACAGTTGAACTATTGCACAATCAATTGAAATCGACGCTACAGTCAATGTGTTCATGCTGAAATAGTGCGAACGTCTAGACGGTATGCACGATAAAGAGAAACGTGACTCTGCGGTTCTCTATTCGCGAGCTTTACGTTTCCCAACGAGAGATCCCTTTCCGAGAAAACAGCAATCGTCACGTTTGTGACGTGAGCGGAAGCTCTGATCTACTCGCTGATTCGATAAGACGTAACTTTTCTTCATACGCACTTCGATTTCACAGGTGACGTCTCATACGTCAGTATATGAAGAAAAGAAGTTTCTAAATCGCGATAAGATTCGTGCCTAAGTCCAGTCACCAGTAATTTATCGCGATAATCTGAGACTCGCCGTCGCCATCGTTAAAATCTTATTTTTCTTATTTATTTAATTTAAGGGAATAAGAGAGATTCTCTCAACATTACCAGTATCATAAAAATGATGAAAAAATTTTGAAAAAATTATAGATTAATTTACATTGTATCTAAAAATATGACACAAACAATTCGATATTAATTCAGAGCTTGTATTAAAATTTATTCCACTTAAAAGTGACGTAATAACGTCAAACGACATATTATTGATGTTATATAAAGAAAAAAGTTTAGTCATATTAACATAAAGTTTTATTGTAATAACGAATTAATACGTTTTCGTTGAAGAGAACGGAATTTCTGGTTCTTAAGTTTTTACAGAACTCCAAATTCAAGTCATAAGAACCGCACATTCTATATCCTTTAAACAAAATGCGTTCATTTGTCTATTAAAACCAAACTTTACATTAATCCAATATTCTTCTCCGTGTGAGAACATTATTAATGCGTCATTAATATATCATATGACGTCATCTTTTGGGAGTATCTTTACTCGTGTTGTAACAGAAATAAAAATATTGTTATCTTTAGGCATAGGAAAAATATAATTGAAAAACAATTAAATGTCTCAATTTTTACATACGGATGATCGGAAACAATTACATCCGATTAATATTATCGTATTTTTGAGGGAACTCTAAGCCTATTTTTCCTCTTGTTATCCGTTGCAAAATGTTATCCGAGACTTGGCTGCTGAGCTATAAAGATAAATAGTTAGTTTCTCACGGGCTAGATACAGAAAGTAAACAGAAGCGGTACAATTCACCGTCAGACGCAGACATTGAGCAATACGCATGTGACAACATTCATACATCTTAGTTTGAAAACTTTCAATGTACAATTAATGCTTCGTTCTTCTCGCGTTAATGTTTAAAGTTTTTCGTATTTGTAAAGTTTATATTGCACTTAGAACAAGTTCGCGTGCGCGATCGCAATCGACTATTTCACTCTTACACGTTATGTTATAATCATATTCAATTAAGTTAAAATAATTTATTCAATTAAGTTAAAATAATTTATTTACTATTATACACAATCACATTGACATTGAAAGTTTTCAAACTAAGATATATGAATGTGTCACACACGTATTGCCCAACGTCTGTGTCTGATGGTGGATTGTACCGCTACTTTCTGTATCTGGCCCGTGAGAGACTATTTATCTTTATAGCTCAACAACTAAGTCTCAGATAACATTTTGCAAGAGGAAAAATTGGCTTAGAATTCCCTCAAAAATACGATAATATTAATCGGATGTGATTGTTTCATAATGTACACTTAAAGGAAAGTTTTTCTAATTTAAGTAAATATCAGCACCCGCAACAAATGATTTATTGATGGTACAGAAAATAACATACCGTAGTGAGAATAAATGATATGTCATTTTCTATTTGTTGCAACACTTCTGTGATGTAGACATCTAAACTAATCTAAACTAAATAAATGTGATTTACATCACAGACAAGGTATGTTTGTTAAAGTGACCAATGATGAAGAATGATTTGCAACGGTAACTGTTCGACCTGTTTCCCTGACAATCATTAAATAGTAAGCGCGCTCTTGTTCTGATAATAGAGGAATTCTTCTTAATGTATTTCAAGTATTTAAAATGATGCAAAGTTTTATATTGTGATACAGAAATAAAAGTTTAAAGATCAAAAATATAAAATGAAGTAGAATGACTATATAAGATATGATGTTAAAATAAAAATATGTCGTTTTAACGTGTATATAAAAAACGAAAGTATTAACGTATCTCTCTGGCTTTTCCAGTGAGTGCTTGCAGAGACTACACGGACAATACCTCCTTAACTGCATGCTTTATCGATTATTTGATGCGAACTGGACGTTGCACCGAAAGACTAGTCAATCTGAAGATAGCAGTGTCAATGACGACAACGTTAAGTTAACGATAAGAGGGAGTCGAATGGAAGAAGAGATTCCACACATTATTTCGCGACTGAAATCACGCATGTTATTAACGCTTTCTTAAGCTATCATGGCTATCAAATCCATCGGACATGTCACGTCCATTTTTGAGAATGTTTCACATGATGTGGTTATCACTTTACGACCGTACTTCCGTATATATCAATTAATCGCGTGATGATATCTTCGCTTGACAAAGCAATCACTTAAACAGTTCGAAAACGAAAAAAGTCCTCCGGAAGCGTCGATAAACTATCCCTGATAGTAGTTAGATAGATAGTCGACGATAAATTCAACGCAAACGTGTGCAATTGCGAATTTTAAAACACATCCGCGTTATCGTACGTTTTTCCGTTTTAATTTTACGCTTCCGCCGATATCGGGCGTTGCATCGTTGCAGATTATGCGCCCAGATAACATCGTGACTGAAGGCGCGGTCACATCAATTGATGTTATCGCGTTATATGAAATTTCAAGGCCCCGACTGATAACGGAAGATTGTGACGCACCGAAGGATTTACGCGCGCGGGCGTAAAGCGCGATGCATCAAAATGTAACTTGGCAAGTTTTAATAACGATAAAACGTTCCGCGCGCGCGAGCAAGAGAAAGAGAGAGAGGGAGAAAGTCAGGATCGTTATCTAACCAAAAATCGCGCTCTCAATTTACTTGGTAATCTTGTTGATTTTATTACATTTCTCTTTATCAATAATATATACAAGCCGATTTGAAATACATTTTGCGATAAGAATAAAGTCAATGATATTTGTTAATTGTATAATTGTATTTCTCAAAAGCTCGCGTCCTATCTGAACATGTCAAAACACCGATACTACGATTACACAAAGATCGCGTATTGTTTGTGGGATACAAATGCGCGTAAATCTCGCTCAAAAATTTTTCTGAGAAATTTGATGGATTACTGCCTTTCCTGATTTAAAAAGGAAAATTCAACAGACACGATAATCCATGAGCCATGATAATAGATGATATACAATGTGCATCGCGTGATAACGCGTTTATAAAAGCCGAAACGCCTTAGTATAATTATTCAGGTGACAATTTAAATTGAACCGTGCAGTGCCCACGTAGAACGTACGAGACGTATACTTTCTCTCTGCCACATTCGGGACTAGGTGATAGGCGATGAAGGGTGAGGATTAAGATGTGAAGTTCATTTCGCCAATGAAACGATTACACAAAATAAACTGACAGGGTTATATTAGGCGACAAGTCTATCTTGTGCTAAGTGTTAGAATCACTCTAAGTAGAGTTTGGCCATAAAGGAAATAACTTTTGATTGGTCCGCTATGTTTCGTCCAAATCCCACATAATCCAATCACCTATGGCAGTAGCTTAGATTAAAAGGATTAGGTTAAGAAAAGATAGGCAAAAAGAGAGATTGAAAATATGTCTCTCTTTCTCGCAGGATTTTGACGAAATCGCACGTTATGGCTAAACTCTGTTTAGTGACTCTAATAAGTGTCTTTTCCATCGATTCACATTTTGAACTATTAATTAATTGAGAATTTTATTTGATCAATTTTCACAAAATTTTGCTTTTCAAAACAGGGATATACCTAATCGCCATCGCCACCGTTTTCTTGGCGTCATGGAACGTGATCAACGCGGAGGAGGAGGAATTCGACAAGATTCCCACAAAATGCCCAGCCAAAGACCCGGAAAACACCACGATCTGTCTCCCTCACGAGAGCGATTGCACAAAATACTACATATGCCGCGGGGGTGAGAAGATCCTGAAACAGTGTCCCCCTTATAACAAGAAAGGTGATAGGCTGCATTTCAACCCGCGCATTCAAGTCTGCGATTGGCCGCATCCAATCATATGTAGGATCGAAGATTTTATTCAGGATGAAGATATGGTACTCAATTTGGAATTTATCGAAGAGGAATACCATATGCCATTCCTCATGGACAAAATTCCTACAAAGTGTCCAGCCAAGGACCCAATAGATACAACGATCCATCTCGCACACGAGAGCGATTGTACCAAGTTCTACATGTGCCACGCGGGTAGGAAGATCTTGAAAAAATGTCCTGAATATAATAAGAAAGGAGACAGGCTACACTTCAACCCTCGTCTTCAAGTTTGCGACTGGCCATGGAGCGCTGGTTGCAAGCATAAGAACTCTGATAACGACCAAGCTGAAGCAATGAACACAGAACTTATTCTTGATGAAGAGTATTATGATCCATCGTTCATGGATAAAATTCCAACAAAGTGTCCGGCCAAAGATCCAGAGGATACTACGATCCATCTCGCACACGAGAGCGATTGCACGAAATTCTATATGTGCCACGCAGGCAAGAAGATCGTGAGACAATGTCCGAAATATAACAAGAAAGGTGACAGATTGTACTTCAACCCTCGTCTTCAGGTCTGCGATTGGCCATGGAAAGCTGGTTGCAAACACAAGAACTCTAACGGAGACCAAACTCTTGCGACGAGCGAAAAGTTAATTCCAAAGGAAGAGCACAACAGGATATCACGCACTGTAAAAGCTGGTTATAAATGTCCCGATAGAAATCCCGGCAACAAGACGATTCTTCTCCCACACGAGTACGATTGCACAAAGTTTTACATATGCCTCGGACGTCAGAAAATAGAACAAAACTGTCCCTACATGAACGATAAGGGTGACCGACTGCACTTCAACCGGCACAGTAAAGTTTGCGATTGGCCAGACAAGGCCGATTGCGACGACAATGATCTCGACGAAGACCGTGTTGGAATAACTGAAGAACCTATTCCAGACGAAGGAGACGGATCATGGGAAATTCCCACAAAATGCCCAGCCAAGGATCCCAATGACACGACAATCCATCTCGCGCACGAGTACGACTGCACGAAGTTCTACATGTGCCAAGGAGGCAAGAAGATCCTGCGTAAATGCCCTTATATGAACAAGCAGGGCGATAGATTGCATTTCAATCCGCGTCTTCAAGTCTGCGATTGGCCAGACCGAGCAGGCTGCCGGTCGCGTGGAAGCACGTATCCTACACGGCATACGGATCACACAAGATCCACGCATTCAACGTGGCGTACTCGTCATACGGATCATACGAGGTCCACGGAGCCGACATGGCCTACACGACACACAAGGTCCACCACACACTCAACGTGGTATACCCGCCACACAGATCATACTAGATCCACGAAGCCGACATGGTCTACACGTCCACCTCCCGACAACGAATGTCGCTGGAGCAACGATGGTCTTCTATTACCTCATGAATGTAAATGCGACAAATACTATGAGTGCGTGGAAGGCAACAGAATCTTGCGTGAATGCCCACATGGTCTGTACTTCAGCAAAAAATATCAGGGCTGCGTCAAGTTCGAGGACTCGGACTGCAAGAAGAAGCCACCATATAAGTGCACTCGGGACGGCGAGCTGATACCTCACGAATGCGACTGTAGCAAGTATTATAAGTGTCGAGAAAATGATTGGGTGTTGCGGGAGTGCAAAAACGGTCTTCACTTTAGCCCGAAACGTCGAAAGTGCGAGGACAAAGACGAAGCCGGTTGCGAAGGCGATGGCCACCATGATGGCGATTGTCCGAAACCTAGACCTAAACACCCATGGCGTCACCACTGCGATTGCAGATTGTTCTACAAGTGCGAAAACGGGAAGATGCGTTTGTACGAATGTCCCTGGGGATATTACTACGATTTAAAGAAAGATAAATGCTCCCGTAAATATAATGTAACCGATTGTGAAAATCATAATGAAGATAAGAATGTAGAGAGTCAATCTTAGAAAATCTTAGGAGGCAAACAAAAAGAAGCTCAAAGTACAGACGAGCGCGAAAAGCAAATTATACGTCCGATATAAAATCATACTGTATATTCGTAAATGTAGAACTTTTCTCAAATATTTCAATAAATCGTATAACCACGTTCTTTGAAGATTTCTCTCGATTCGAGTCTCGGATAACGCACATCACATCAGCAATTTCGTCATTTTCATTTCCAATTGAGATAAAACATTCCGGAGCATAACAACTTAATTGTGACAGAACCACTATAAACACCTATAATCACATATAATCGCAATGTAGATGCAAATATGTACATTATTATAAAGAGTTATACCTAGATAGACACACGAAAAAACGACTTCGTTGCTTCGTTAATTATAGTTTACTAAAAATATATTTTTTGTTGCAACCAAAAAGCTGCTGTAACTAAAACTTTTGCTACTGATACTACTATATAGTAATTTATGGTAGTAGTATTAAATCTATATGGATTTTATAGCTAAATATGCGCCTATTAGCAATTATTAGGACCTTAACTTAGTTTCCGCCCAAAAAATACTGAGAAAAAGCATTTATTGTAAAAAATTTATTTAAATTATTTCAATGAAAGTATTTTCCATCACTTTCTACAACTTTTTGCCATCTTTCTGGCAACTGGGCGATACCATCTCGATAAAACGATGTTTGTTTCGAAGCAATCCATTCGTCCACCCATTCTCGCACTTCTTCAACATTTCGGAAGCGTG